TTAGGGCTTTGGGTTTAGGGTTTTTCGGTTTAGGGCTTGGGGTTTAGGGCTTTGGGTTTGGGGTTTTTCGGTTTAGGGTTTAGGGTTTAGGGCTTTGGGTTTGGCGCCTGGCCGGAGCACATGCTGCCAAGCTTCCGATTCGTTCTGCACCGAGGGAGGTGAAGAAGGAGAGAGCCGCAGCATCGGAGCCATCCACCATGGCCTCGGAAAAGCGAACCCTGACTCAGCCACCTTCCATCTTTAACTTTGCTTCATGCTTTCCCTGGAGGAAGGCTGCCGGGGCCCTGAAGAACGGGGCTGCCTCCGAGCGACCCATGCAGCGAATTCTCCAGGGCCTGAGATGGAAAGCCGACTGACTGTAAGTAAGCTCCTGGAGTCTCTAAGCCTCGGAGCCTAAGAGAACGAGCTGTGACATCCAGGTGCAACTTGGTGGCCAGGCACATCTTGCGGCAACCTGTGCTGCAATTCCTCCACCAGAGCTGTTCCTACACCTTTGCGGCGATCCGCCGCATTGACCTGGAAGCGCACGGCAGAAGATGGCGACGGACGGTTGTCCATTGGATTATGGGACTATCATCAGGAAGCATGCCATCAAGACTAACATCCTTCTATACGTCGAGCTGACGTTCGCCCGAAGCCAAGCCGCCAACACGGTGTTGACTACCTGCCGTGGCCGCACATGCCATGAGCTCATGGCCAGCCGGTGCTGCAGCCGAGAAACAAAGTCGCATCTGAGTACAAAGAAGCCCCCGACGGCCAGACGGCCCAGCTGTGCACAGCCAATGACCTCCTTCAGCTCTCAGCGGTACAATAGTAACAATAGCAATAATAGTAATAATAGTAATAATAGTAACAACAGCAGTAATAGCAGTAATAATAGTACAATAGCAGCAATAGTATTATAATAGTAATACGATCACAGGATGCCCACGGCTTGCCAACTCCGGCTAGTGAGCATTGGAACTGGCGTCCTTCCCAGCTTCTGCGATGACATAGGATGCATAGCCTTGCCCAATCCTGAACTGCAATCTCGCAAAACGTTGACCCTGCCTTCGAAAGTCACACGACAGACCTCGTATGGAACACCGAAACAGAGCAAGCAGCAGGGGCTGCAGGGCCACCATGAGCTCAGAGACGCCCCCTGTAGATGAACTCAGCTTCTTCGGTGCTCCAAACACCCACTCCCTGTGCAGGCAAGGCACCAACTTCTCGCTGAAGTCGATAGACGGCTCTCATGTCTTCCGTGTCCTCTCTTGCACAAGCGCTGCCCTTTGAATCGGTGGCGCCTGCTAAGTACTGCCCACCGAATCCCAGCGAGACCTTGCCGGGCTTCAGAAGGCGCACCTTAGCGCAGAATGCTGACGAATTGCACTCGTCCCAAAGGTAAGCCCACAGCCGGAAGGCAACGGAAACCAATTTCAGCCGAGGGGACTCTCCATTCTTTGTGGAGACTAGATTCCTTCGGCTGGTCCGGCAGCGAAGCGGCACGATTTCGACCGCCTGCTCAGGCAGCCACCCTAAACCAGAAACCCTAAACCCGAAATCCCTAAACCCTAAACCATTTGGGAGCTCACAGCGTCGAAGATCAAAGCGGCCTCCGATGCAGCGCCTCGAGGAGGCTCTCGAGGCGAGGCTCCTGACTCGGCACAGAGATCCGCCTTTTAGGGTTTAGGGTTTAGGGTTTAGGGTTTAGGGTTTAGGGGTTTAGGGTTTAGGGTTTTAGGGTTTAGGGTTAAGGGTTAGGATTTCGGGTTTAGGGTTTAGGGTTTAGGATTTAGGGTTTAGGATTTA